CATTGCCTCATTTTTAACACAAAAGGTGAATTTTCATTTGTTACGAGCCACTGAAAAATAAATAATGGCCAGAACCTAAATTTTAAACGAGAAATACATAAAGGTGAAATTTTACAGCTTGAAGAATCATCCAAATTTTTCTTCTTCTTCTTCCTTTTTTTAACTGTTGGTTTAGCGGGTTTGGCATCAATTTTTAAAGAAGTGGGTTTCAATGTGTAATCGGACCTAATTTCTTGCTGGTTCTTAATTTTTCTGGTCGAACCGATAGGTCTAGACTAAAGAAAAAAACTGAGCCGGGAGGATTTTTATTGAATGGAAACGTGAACACATAGGCTATACGATAGGAGCATTTAAATACAATTACATTGACTAGGCTATAAAATCAAATAAAATAAGAATCCATAAAATCTGTTCTGGTTTTGGTAACAGATATGCTTTCCATTGGTTGCATTTGACAGCTTGATAATAGAGGATACCTTATCAGTTGGAGTTTGTTGGAAACCTTTCTTTATTTGTAGGCTTGGTTGGATCATCATCTTAGTTTGAATTTGTTGCTGTTAGAGCTCCAAGATCACTCAACTTCTCTCCACTAATTGATGCTGGATTGTGAGAGTCTTCACCCTTTTTACTCCAAGAATCTCATGCATCCTTTATTATTTCTACATTTGACTCTCACATTTGTTAGGAATGCCAAGCTGTAATATGTTGTTAATATCCTCCCGCAGACTTTGTTGGGCAAAGTTTTGTTGCCAAAATAATGAAGAGGGGGTCTGCAACTTGATTATCAGAGGAGATATGTTGAGTGACAAGTAGTCCACGTGCAACGCGTTCTCGCACAAAATGATAATCCAATTCGATATATTTGCTTTGTGCATGTAATAGAGGATTTACTGTCATCTGAAGAGTGCTAAGGTTGTCGCAGTAGAATATGAGAATAGATGTCATTGGAATGCGAAGATCTTTGAAAATGATGGACATCCATGTGAGTTCAGCTTCTCTGTTAGCCATTGTGCAGTATTCAGCTTCTATGCAGCAGAAAAATGAAAAAAAGGCTGTATATTTGTTGTGTATTTTTTTCTCATAAGAAACATATGTACAAGGCTGAAATATTTAAATATATAGACAGCCAAAAGATTTCCATAAACACAGTAGTAAAAATGGTATGTTAATATGCTCTTCAATCCTTGATTTATTTTGTGTCTAAAGCAGGTCGAGTGATTTCTGCGGCTGAATGATATGCGAGATCTTGATTGATAATCTTGGATTCCTGTAGTGCATGGCTGGAGTTTCCATCTCTAATACCCTCCCGCAAACTGTGCCGGGGTTGGTGAAAAGGTTTGCAACCCGGTCATAAGCGGAGATATGGTGAGTGGTAAGTAGTCCAAGTGCAACTCTTTCGCGGACAAAGTGCTAATCTAAGTCAATGTGTTTGCTTCGGGCATGAAACACAGGATTAACGGTCATATGAAGGGCACTGAGGTTGTCGCAATACAAGATCGGGAAAGAACCCATAGGAATGCGAAGATCGTTTAAAATAAAAGTCAACCACGTGAGTTCTACAGCAGTGTTGGCCATGGCACGGTACTTAGCCTCGGTACTGGAACGAGAGATTGTCTGTTGTTTCTTCGCACACCAGGAAATGAGGTTGCCCCCAAGGTAGGTACAGTAGCCAGTGGTGGAGCGCCTAGTAGTGGGACACCCCGCCCAATCTACATCGGAAAAGGCGCATAAATCAAGTGAAGTGTTAGATGTGAAGTGTAAACCGAAGTTAATACTACATTTGACATATCGTAGGATACACCTAACCATTTGCAAGTGAAGGATGATGGGAGCATGCACTAATTGAGAAACGTAATTAACACTATAGGAGAGATCAGGACGTGTGAGGGTAAGGTATTGTAAAGCCCCAACAAGGCCCCGAAAATAACTTGGATCTGCCAACAAAGTGTTATGTGAGGAGGTCTTGGCTTTTGCTTCAAGCGATGTACTCACAGGTTTACAGTCTATCATGTTGGAGTGCTCGAGTATGGTAAGGGCGTAATGAGATTGTGACAAGAGAAGGCCATCTTGTGTCCGGGAGATTTCAATACCAATGAAGTGATGCAACGATCCTAAGTCCTTCATAGCAAATGAATAAAGCTTGTAACAAGCTCCGAAGTGGAACCTGTAAGTAAGATATAATCAACATAAAGTAGTAAAATTAGTGAACCATGAGGGGAATGAAAAATAAATAGGGATGGATCGGCCAAGCTGCAAAAGAAACCATATTAAGGAGGAAGGCACTGAAACGATCAAACCAGGTGCGTTGCGCCTGTTTAAGGCTATAGAGAGCCTTTTGAAGCTTGCAAACGTGTGTGGGGTACTGTGGGTCAGCCATTCCTGGAGGTTGCATCACATAGATATTCTCAGAAATAAGGCCATGGAGGAAGGCGTTCTTTACATCCAGTTGACGAGTAGGCCAATGTTTAACAAGAGCGATGGTGATAATTAGGCGAATGGTCCCTGATTTGATGACGGGAGAAAAGGTCTCAGTGTAGTCTATGCCATCAATCTGATGATACCCTTTTGCAACCACGCGGGCCTTCAGGCGATCTAAAGAGCCGTCGGGTTTGAGTTTGGACTTGAAAACCCACTTAGAGTCAATTACATGCATATCAGGAGCGAGGAGAACAAGTTGCCAGGTCTAGTTTTGATGTAGGGCAGCAAGTTCTTCGTCCATGGCGGCTTTCCAACCAAGATGAACCAAGGCTTGTCGAACATTGGAAGGTTCAGGAAGGATATGGGCAGAGGATATGGTAGTCAAGGCATACTTTGAGTTGGGTTTGACAACTCCAAGGCAAGACCGGGTGACCATGGGGTGCGAGGTTGGAGCATGTGGAAGCTTGGAGATTTCTGGTGTACCAATTAGCTCCAGTGGAGGCTCAAATTCAGGTTGTGAAGAATGCTCAGAAGCAACACAAGAAACAGATGGAGATGGTTTGAACCCAAGTTGTGTGCTGGCTGGAGGAGGAGTTGAAGCCATATCCTCAAGTCATGCACAATCTAGTGAGATGGAAGATTCAGCAGGTCCAAAATTTGGAACGTGGGCAGCCACTGATGGCAAAGGACTCAGGCATCGCAGAAGAGATATTGCGGGAGCTAGGGGAGCATATGTTGATGGAGCCGCCAACTGAGGAATGAAGTCAGGATGCGGTAACCAAGAATAAAAAATGCTAATAACCTGCGATGAGGCGGGAGAGGTATTAGTTTTAAGATTAGTTTTATAAGAAAAATCTAACTCATCGAAGACAATGTGCCGTGAGATAAAAAAAATTTTGCTTGAGGGATGAAAACACTTGTAACATTTATGTTTATCACTAAGCCTACAAAGATGTAGGGAATAGTCTTATGATCAAATTTGTGTCATCGTGTCCCAAGTGTAAGGAAAGCATTTAGAGCCAAAAGTGCGAAGTGAGGAGTAAACAGGCTGAGTACCATGTAATGCAAAATATGGGGTCTCAAAATTAAGAGCAGATGAAGGTAGGCGATTCATAAGGTAGACAGCCGTAGTGAAGGCTTCGAACCATAGAAAAAAAGGGCACCACTATGAAATAGCATAGTCATACCTAGTTTTCGTATAATCCTATGGCGTCTTTCAACCATACCTGTTTGTTCTGGAGTGTATGGGCAAGATACCTGATGAATGACTCCTGTAGACAAAAAATGAGATGATAGTTTCGAGTTGATGAATTCGCCACCTCCATCAGAGTGAAAGATTTTAATTTGTTTATTGAATTGTCTCGTAACATATTGCTCAAAGGAGATATAAGTAGTAAAAAAATCAAATTTATGTTGTAATGGAATAACCGAGGTATATTTAGAGAAATCATCGACCAAGCATGCATAATATCCAAATTTACCAATAGACAAAACAGGGACATGTCCCCATAAATCACAATGTATTTTTTCAAATACATCAGAACTCGAATGTTCAGAACTGGAAAAAGGTAGTTTACTAAGCTTTCCTAGTTAACAACTATCACAAAGGTGTTCAGATTTCATAGTTCCCTTGATATCAATTAATCCCTTATTTTTCAATAATTGTAAAGCCAAAGGTTGAGGGTGTCCCAAGCGTTGGTGCCAAACTTCTCCTGATCCTGATTTGAAACGATGGGAAAAGTACAATTCTGGTGAAGTGGGGAGAACATAGAGGTCACCCTTGCACTTCCCTGTTATTATTGGCTGTCCTATTTCCCGTTCCTTAACACAAAAATTAGTATTAGAGAATTCAAAATTAACAGGAAATTGGCCAGTAAGCTGACTTACAGAGAGCAAACTTTTTGTTAAGTCAGGAACAAGTAGGACATCACGAAGAGGTAAGGTAATATTCTTCTGTTTAGTGCAAAGGTCACCAATACCAAGGATAGGTAGAGAGGATCCATTTCCAATAAGAATCGAATCAGTACCAAAATATTCACGAATGTTGGTTAACATACTTGGCTTACCTGTCATGTGATTAGAAGCTCCCGTGTCTGAGGTCCATTCAGTGTCTATGATGGAGTTGTTTAGTGTGAGTGCTGCAAGTGCTTGTGGTGTATCATCACGTTGAGTAGGCTTCTTGTGTTGCGACTCAATTTTTACAGTAAAAAATTCAAATGTGAACTAATCAAGGTCAAAGTCAATTGAGGACTAAAATGAAATTAAATATTTTATTTGGGTTTATTTTACAATTGGCAAAATATAAAGGTTAAATTGGATACAATTTAAAGTTGGAAATTTATTTATATATTTTTGGAAGTTTAGGATTAAATGTGTTATGAAAAGGGAGTTGAAGGACTTAGTTTGCAATTTTTAGCAAGTGGATCATTAAATCACTAGAATTGATCCATTTTTCTCTCAAAAACACACACACACACACACACTAAAAAATGGGGGCAGAGAGCTGGAAGACAAAGAAAGAAGGAAAAACTAAGGAAAAAAGAGAAGAAAAAGAGAAAGAAGGAAGAAAGGAAAAAAAAGGGAAGAAGAGGACGCGAGGTAAGGTTAATCCTTTCAAGTTTGGGTTTAATTTTTTCAATTGTTTTAAGTGATAAAGTATGATTTATGTTAAAATTCTAGGGTTTTAACTTGTAGTAGAAATTTTTAAATTTAGGTGTGATAAGCACGAATTGGAGCTCAAGCTTCGGGATTACTTCATTTCCTATTTCAGCTAGGAGAGGAATATTATTTTTAGCAAACCCTAGAAAATTTATTTGGGATTTTTAGATTAAGTATGTTCATGAAAATGATGATGTTGAGAAAATAATTATTTGGAAGCATAAAATTATGGAACAAGAGGAAAATTTAATTGGTCGAATTATAGCGACTAGTTGTCATTAGAATGAAGTGGGTTGTCATAGTAATGCTTGGAAATGAAGGTTATGTTGATAAATTAGTTATTAGTCAAGGGATTATAAAGTGTGATTAGCTCTAATTAATAAAGGAAAATTTGGGAATTTATTAAAGTATCAAGAAATTTAATTTAAGTTCTATCATTAGATATTAAGGTTTCTTGATTTGATAGTAGATAAATTGGTTATAAATATCTTATTTTAGGTGGTGACGAGGAGATTTGAAATGTTTATCAGGCAGTCTAGCTTGTAGTTCGTACTTTGTGAGTGTATAAAACTTATTTTTTAAAAATAAGTCTTCTTTAAATTTAAAGTTATTTATTTTATAAAGTTGACTTCATAGCTTGATTTTCAGAATAAAATGGATTTTATTATCAATTGTTTTTAAAGTTAAATTCAGTTCAGTTAAATCATTTTAGTAACATATTATATTCTTATTACATGTTTCATTATAGTTAAAGTTATTTTTAAAACCACCAGAAAGTATCCATGTGATTTTACTCTAGTCTGCACTGGTGTGAATGTGTTTCCACGGTGTATGATCAGCCATGGTGAATTTACCCGCTCTGCACTATTGTGAATGTGTTTCCATAGTGTATGGCCAGATTATCAGAGGTCTTTGGGACTCACTTTCGTACACACATAGACTTTGGGTCGTGTACTAGGATGATTAACCTTTAGGGCAGCTCTGCGTACGTATGACCAGATTATCAGATGTGAATAGACTTGCCTTGTACATTGAGATTACTCTGTACATGAGTAAGGCTATTCATAGGGTACCTTTTTGGGTGTGATTCAGCTTATAGAGTTTAGTTTCATTAGTTCTCAAAAATAAAGTTTCCAGCTTATAACATTGAATAATACCAATATTTTAAAGAATTTTATAATGTAATCATGTTTAGTTTTTAAAAGTGTTACTAGATTCAGAATTTCTCAAGGATTTAGTAAAGTTAAAATTTTTAGAAATGTATAAATGAAAAAGTTTATTTATTTGCAAACTATCCACTCACTGAGTTACAAACTCATATATTTTATCATGTTTTTCCTATCAGGAGACCGTTGATTTTGAGATACTTGGAAAAGCCTGCTGAAGTGAAAGAGACCGTTTCATAGTATGTAATGAATAGTTGGGGACTCATGTTTATTAAGTACTATGTCTAGTATTTTGTTTGTCATGCACTTCGTAGAAGGGTTTATAATTGATGTAATGCTTGCATGTTAACATGATGATGTTTTAGAAGTACTCAGTCGAGTTCAGTTGTATTTTGTTTTAGTTGTGGTGGTATTAGTGGAAGTGGTGGTTTCCAAAAATTTTGGTTTGAATGTCTATATGAGGTTTTGTTGATTTTTTAGGTTGGTTTTGTCCATTTTTCAGGGGAAACTCTATCAAAATTTTTATAGAATTATATCACAGTCAAAGTATATCAAGTTTGTCTTGGTGGTGGATTCGGCATTTGGCTGGCATCTACATCGGCGCATGACACGCGTCGAGTCAATTAGGTTGAATCGGGATGGGTCGTGTCAATTGGTATCAGAGCATGGTCTTAGAGTTTATGAGTAACATTGCATGTATCTAATGTTTGTATATCACACATTATTGTAGGTAAGTCATGCGTGGTAGAGGCAGAACTCGCAGGTATCAAAATCTAGTATCTTAAGCTCATAATACTCCTGAAGAAAGACATGTTGGAGGGGCTAGTGGGGCTGTTGAATCAATGTACAAGACATGTTGGAGGGGCTAGTGGGGCTGTTGAATCAATGTACCAGTCTCAGGTGCAACCTGACCCCATCACCGATAGAATAGCCGTAGCTATTGCTTCCCTTCTACCCAATACCAATAGAGATAACTCTATTGAGAGGGCGATGAAACTTGGAGCAAACTCTTTTACGGGTACATCTAATCCAGTTGATGCCGAACTTTGGATGAAAACTTTGGGAAGTATATTTGATGTGATCGAATGCTCAGAGGATAAAAAATTACACATTGCTGTATTTTTATTGAAGGGAGGAGCTACTGATTGGTGGATTTCATTTCGACGTCGGTATCGAGATCCGAGTATTATCACCTGGACCATTTTCAAATAAGCTTTCTATGAAACATATTATCTTCCATTTTATCGTGATGCAAAACAAAATGAATTTTTAAGATTGGTTCAGGGGTCTATGTCAGTTGCTAAATATCATGTAAAGTTTGTCAAACTGTCTAAGTATGCAAGTGCTTTGGTTGCTAAGGAGAGAGATAAGTGTAGACGGTTTGAGCAAGGATTGAGAGCAGAGATTCGGCCTATGGTTACTGCTCATGGGCATCAAAATTTTGGTATGTTGGTTGAGGCGGCATTGAGGGTTGAGACAACTATTCGTGAAAGAAGTAATCAAGGAGCACAGGTGACCTTTCGAGGTGGTAGTAGTCAAACAGGAGCTTCAGGAGAAAGGTTCAAGAAGAACAGAAAAGGATTTTGGCCAGGTGTCACTAAATCTGGCAGTTTTAAATCTAAGTCTGGGAGTTCTAGCTCTAGTCAGGGATCAAGACATAGCCAGAGTTTTGGACAGCAGTCGGTGGGGAGCCATTCTTATGTGCAGGGTCTTTCACAGAGAATTCAAGAAGCGAGGCAGAGTGAGGTTTCTGATCATTGGAGCTTCCCACAGTGCTAGACTTGTGGGAAGTTTCATCTAGGCGAGTGTCTTCGAGGGGTTGGAGTTTGTTACCAGTGTGGTCAGATGGGACACATAAAGGAAAGATTGCCCAGCCAAATTTCAGCAGATTGGAGTATCTCAGATAGTATCTCCTCAGCTAGGGATCAGTACGACCAGACAGAACAGGGATCAAAGAGCTCCATCAGTAGGATCGACGGGGGCCACAGAATCTAATGCTGCTAGGGATAGTGCTTCTAGACAGGGAACCCAGGCAGGTCAATCCAGGACTCAGGGCAATGTGTTTGCTATGACACAGCAGGAGGCAAAGGAGTCACCAGATGTGGTAGTGAGTATGTTATCTATTTTTGGTAGAAATGCTCATTCTTTAATTGATTCGTGTGCTACGCATTCCTTTATTTCTCATACACTTGCTAGCTATGCTGATCAAATGTCAGAACATTTAGATAATGAATTTGTAGTAGTGACTCCAATAGGGGACTCACTTTTAGCTAATCGGGTATATAAAGATTGTGAGATTAGAGTGAACAATCATGAGTTGAAAGCATATTTAATTTCCCTTGGCATTCATGATTTTGATGTTATCTTGGCGATGGACTTTCTATCTAGTCACCGTGCTTCAGTTGATTGTTTTTGCAAGGAAGTGGTATTTAGAAGTCCAGGAGAGCTTGAAATTGTCCTCACTGGAGAGCGTAGAATTTTGACATATTGTGTAATATCTATCCTGGATGCTCATAGAATGCTTAAAAAGGGTTGTGATGCATATTTGGCTCATATAATTGATACTCAGATTACAAAGTGGGCAATTGACTATATATCAGTTGTGCTAGATTTCCCTGATGCCTTCTAGAAGACCTTTCGGGATTATCCCCAGACAGGGAGATCGAATTCTGTATTGATTTGATTCTTGGGACTGCAATTATTTCACAGGCACCTTATCGAATGGCTCAGAAAGAATTAAAGGTAAAATTACAAGAATTGGTTGATAAGGGTTTCATTAGACCCAGTGCATCCCCATGGGGAGTACCTGTATTATTTGTGAAGAAGAAAGATGGCACTCTGAGATTATGTATTGACTATAGACCGCTGAATAAGATGATTATTCGCAATATTATCATCTACCCTGCATTGATGATTTGTTTGATCAACTTCGAGATGCCTCAGTATTTTCAAAGATTGATTTACGTTCAGGGTATTATCAGCTCAGAATTAGAGATGTTGATGTACCAAAGACTGCTTTTCGGTCTCGGTATGGTCAATATGAATTGTTGGTGATGCCGTTTGGATTAACTAATGCCCCGGCTGCATTTATGGATTTGATGAATAATGTGCTTCACCCATATTTAGACAAATTTGTGATTGTTTTTATTGATGTTATATTGGTTTATTCTCACAATCGTGATGAGCATGCTAAACATTTGAGGATTATCTTGCAGACTTTGCGAGATAAGCAATTGTATGCTAAATTTAGCAAATGTGAATTTTGGTTGGATAAAGTTGTGTTTCTAGGTTATGTTATCTCAGCAAAAGGCATTTATGTAGATCCTTAAAAAAATTGAGGCAGTTATGAGATGGGAACACCCTACTAACGTTACAGAAGTACGGAGTTTCCTTGGGCTAGCAGGTTATTATCGTCGGTTTGCAGAGAATTTCTTCAAAATTGATGTTCCTTTGACTAATTTAACTCGAAAGAACACCGAATTTGTGTGGAATGAGGAATGTGAGAAGAGTTTTCAAGAGTTGAAGAAAATGTTAACTTCTGCTCCTATACTTACTCTTCCATCTCCAGGTGAAGAGTTTGTGATTTATAGTGATACTTCACGTCAAGGATTGGGTTGTGTTCTAATGCAAAATGGGAAAGTTGTAGCTTATGCTTTAAGACAATTGAAGAAGCATGAGTTAAATTACCCAACTAATGATTTGGAGTTAGCTGCAGTACTGTTGGCATTGAAGATTTGGATTTATGGTGAGAAATGTCAAATATTTACTGATCACAAAAGTTTGAAGTATATTTTTTATCAGAAAGAACTGAAACTGAGGCAGAGAAGATGGTTGGAGTTGATTAAGGATTATGATTGTAAGATTGACTACCATCCAGAAAAAGCTAACGTGGTTGCAGATGCTCTTAGTAGGAAGACTAGTTCTTCCTCTCCAGCTAGTGCAGTTTATGCTTCTTTAATTTGTGAATTCAAGAAATTGCACGCTCAATTGTCAGCTACTACTTCAGGTGCTGTATTAGCTCATTTTCAGGTGAGGCCTACTTTAATTGATAAGGTTATAGAAGCTCAAACCCAAGACCTAACAATGATAACTTTGAAAGAAGAAGTTAGTGTTGGGTTACGAACGAATTATGTTATTAGGAAGGATGGTTCATTGGGTATGGGTAATAATAGATAATGTGTTCCAGATATCCCAGAATTGAACAAGGAAATTTTAAAAGAGGCACACAGTTCTGCTTATGCTATGCATCCATGTAATATTAAAATGTATCATACATTGAAGGATCATTATTGGTGGAAAGGTATGAAGAGGGAGATAGCAGATTTTGTATCCAAATGTCTTATATGTCAGCAGGTAAAGCCAGTTCGCAGAAAACAGCAGGACTTTTACAGCCATTGCCTATTCCAGAATGTAAATGGGAGCACATTACTATGGACTTTTTATTTGGTCTTCCTTGTACTCAAAATGGTCATGATGGAGTTTGGGTGATTGTAGATCGTTTGACGAAAACTGCCAAGTTCTTGCCGATCAAAGCCACTTATACTTTAAATAAGTTGGCCAAGTTGTATGTGGATGAGATAGTGAGCTCATTTGGTACTCCATTATGTCTGATAGAGACCCTCATTTTACATCTAAATTTTGGCTCAGTTTACAGAAAGCCATGGGTACTAAACTATATTTCAGTACAGCTTTTCATCCTCAGATAGATGGCCAGTCATAGAGGACCATACAGACTCTTGAGGATATGTTAAGGGCTTGTGTTTTAGAGCTCAAAGGTAGCTGGGATACTCACATGTCATTGATGGAGTTTGCTTACAATAATAGTTACCACTCTAGTATAGAAATGGCTCCTTTTGAAACTCTATATGGTCGAAAGTGCATAACACCAGTTTGTTGGGATGAAGCTGATTAGAGGAAGTTAGTAGGCCCTGAATTGGTTCAAATGACGTCCGAAAGTGTGGAATTGATCAAAGAAAAGTTGAAAGCAGCTTAGGATAGACAGAAAAGTTATGCGGATATGCGTAGGAAAGATCTTGAATTTGCTGTAGGAGATAAGGTTTTTCTTAAATTATCTCCTTGGAAAGGGATATTGAGATTTGGTAAGCGAGGAAAGTTGAGTCCACGATATATTGGACCTTATGAGATTACTGAACGGATTGGCTCAGTTGCATATCGATTAAATTTACCAGATGAATTATCTCAGATCCATGATGTTTTTCATGTTTTCATGCTTCGCAAGTACGTAGCAGATCCCTCTCATGTTCTGGAGTCTTAGCCAATTCAATTATAGGAGAATTTGACTTATATAGAAGAGCCAGTGAGAATCTTAGACAAGAAAGTACAAACTCAATGAAACAAGACAATTTCACTTGGCAGAATCAAACAGTAAAAGAGGCTACATGGGAGAACGAGGGTCAGATACGTGCTCAATATTCTCATTTATTCATTGCCTAGTCAGTTGCCAGTTGAATTTCAAGGACGAAATTCTTTTAAGAAGGTAAGATTGTTACAACTCAATTTTTATAGTAAAAAATTCAAATGTTGACTAATCAAGGTCAAAGTCAATTAAGGATTAAAATGAAATTAAATATTTTATTTGGGTTTATTTTGCAGTTGGCAAAATATGAAGGTTAAATTGGATACAATTTGAAGTTGGAAATTTATTTATATATTTTTGGAAGTTTAGGATTAAAAGTGTTATGAAAAAGGAGTTGAATGACTTATTTTACAATTTTTAGCAAATGGACCATTAAATCACTAGAATTGACCCATTTTCTCTCAAAAACACACACACACACACA